TGGAAAGTCCCTTGACAGAACTAATCCAAAGAATTGTTGCATTCTGACATGAAGCACATTACTGAGAGATCAGTGAGATGGCTTTTTTGTTTGTTTTGTATCTAGGACTGAGGTATTTGCTCTGTGCTGACAGTGCTGTTTTCTAGCTAGGGTCCCAGTCGCTTTTGGAGAAGATGTCTCCAGTCTTGCAAGCTCTGCTTGGTACTGCCACTGCATCTGTGCTAACCATGAATATAGACACTGAATCCCATCAGGTAAATACAGAAGGGACAGGGAAGCTGAAAGGCAAGATAAGTGCCTGTGTTTTGTAAGTCAAGGCCTGCCCATTCTCTTCTCAAGATGCCTTGGAGGAAAGTCCTGCTGTACAAACATGAAGCACTCACATTCACACACATCAGAGTGGAACACAGTATCTTTGTGCACTGGAAAGTGGCACAGATACTGCTCCTATTGGTCCGCCGATTCCTCCAAAATCAGCCCAGAGCCAGCTACTGCTTCATTGTCATTTTATTGGATGTAAAACCACATCAGTTGGGATTTACATATAAACATGGGCTACATTACGAAATCACACAATTCCATGCAGGGAACTACAGCAAGATCCATGGGAAAGGGGGAAGAGCAGTCCATGCTCAGAAAGGTCATACAGTACATGTCGTGGTGACAGAACAAGGTTACTCTGATTGCCTGAATTCACATGATACATGGGAGGGAAGTGTGCGTTCATTACAGCCTAGATGGAGAGATGCTCATTTTGCCAGTTTACATATCTCATTCTTTCTCTGGCTGCCCTTAAGAAATGGTTAGTGAGATGCTACTGAAGTGCAGTTTAGCTTAGCCGCTTCTGCCACAGGCACCTTTTGTGCATATCAGTTTTGCCATCTAGAGTTTTGTTTGTATTTGCTGGATTCATATATTAAACATCTATTGTGAGACTCTTGGCTTATTTCTCTAGAAGATTTCTGAGCAAGAACCCATTGGGGGCCGAGAAACCCCGTCCACTATGCCATGAGAATGGTTACTGCAAGACTTGAGGTGCTTTCAGGGGAGGGGCTGTAGCTGAGGGGTAGAGCCCATGGGTTGCATGCAAAAGATCCTTGGTTCAATCCCTGGCAGGGCTAAGACAGACTCATGTGTAAAATCCCGGAGAGCTGCTGCCCGTCAGTACAGATACTCCTGGGTCTGATGGATCAATGGCCAATATAAGCAGCTGCCTATGTTTCTAGTCCACATGGGTTGTAACAGTGAAGATTTCTGAATCTAAGTGTTGTGGGTGATGGGTGGACTCCTGGGAGCTGAACATTCCTATGAGAGAGATGAATATCACCTTCCCACAACATCGGAGGAATGGCCTGAATTTATACAGACTGATTCACTGATGCATGCATACCATGTAATTTCTCATCATGAGATTACCCAGCACGTGGTGACTTGGCTAAATATGTGAAATGTCTTCTCTGGAAAACGTTGAGTTTGAGCTGAGCCTGGAAGATGCAAAGTTCTGTCTGTGGAGATTAAACTGCAGTGGCTCATGCTTCATATATGCAAAGATCAGTAGAATTCAGAGCTAATGAATGCTAAATGTAAGCTGGCCCCTGGCCTGACATAGCACCAGCCTTTGAAAGAACTGCATTTCTTTTGAATGAAATTATTTCACTGTATAGCAATTCCACAGAAGCCAAGAGGAGGTTCTTGAACTGTCTCATGCAGAAGCAGGGCATGACAGTTTAGCATCGCTGCTCAGCAGCTCTAAGGAGTGCATCACCAGCATTTTACAAGATGAGGACTTGTAAAAAAAAGATAAAGGAACTGCCAACTAAAGAGACAAGAGATGAAAAGCCCCAACACATGTGTGACAGATTTTACCAGCATTTTCTGTTCTGGATAAGCACTTGTCAAACTAAGTTCACATGAATCTAGCTAGGGCAAGGCAATATTCCAACATGCACATCAGAGCTTTGAGGGAAAGGAAGACCAGAAGAGGAGAAACAACTGTGGATGCAAATGATTCCGGGAAGGTGAAACAAAAGAATGATCAATTTCTCATATTCTACTCTCAACAGAATATGAGAAAGCAAAGAGCAGGCTTGGTATAGAAGATACAGGATGTTTCCATGATTCTGTGGAACTATTATTACAACACTGCTTCTTGAAACTGTCTTTATTTTCCTGGTCCTACAGCCTCCAAATTTCATGGCCAAAATTCTGTACTGATGTAAATGCAAGAGAGTCAACAGAGCTCTACTTATTCACATCATCCAAATATGGTCTCCTTTCTATAAAGTGCTCAGTGAACAAATTGCCAGCCACATGAAATAAAACATGATGGTCATCCCTTTGGAGAAGCCAGTGCAGCTTCCCCACCCCCAGGCCTACCTTTGATGGTTCCAGAAGAGCTCCACATGAATTGGGCACTGGCCATATGCTGAAGGCATTTGCAACATTCACTGATAAATGCTGCTTTGTCTGGCTGCCAGCCTGTATATTTTCCCTGGGCTGGAGATCAAGCCTGGCCTAATGAGTCATCACCTGGAATAAAAATCCCACAGCTGGAATTCAGATCAGTTGCTCTCTTGACTAGGCAAAAGCCAAACCAGGCTTCTGCTGGTGCTGCTTCTCTCTGAACCACTTCGGCCCTGCATAGGATAGGCTGCTGCTTGTCTTTCCTGGCAGGACTTCAGGGTCTTTAGCAACTGAGTAAGAGGCAGTAAATCAACAGGTATAGTCTTTTATAGCACAGAGGTAGTAATATAAACCACTGTATATAATCCGTCCTTTCCTAGCTTGTCACCCTCCAGATGTGTTGGGCTCCAGGTGCCATCACCGCAGCCAGCATGGCCCAAGATTTTTTTTGGGGAGGGGGACACAACACATTGGGGATGAGTGATCCAGTCAGTTTCTGATTACCATGCAGTTTTAAAGCCCAGGGGCCCTTGCAGAACCAAGAAACAGCAATTTAGGAAAAGGCCTTGCTTGTTATCCAAACAGTTGTTCCAACCTTCTCTGTTTGGAGTGAGGCTCAAATAATTAACAGTTCTAGTGCAATTAAAAAAATGAAAACAAGAGCAAGTCCCAGCCTTTCTCATACCAACACTTATGTGTTGATGAATGGTGATTCTATTAAATTAGCATCATTGCATCAAAATCACAAGGAAATTATGAATTTGTCAGGTGTGTGCTTAGATCTAAGCAAGAATTAGGGAAATCAAATGCATCTATATGAAGCAGGTGGAGTTGCCACAATGAAGTAGGTTTTGCCAACCAGGCTCAAACCTGGAGAACATTCATAAATGTTTAAATCTCCTAATGGGACAGATAAGGCAGCGACAGCTTCCTGCTTGTGCCTTCCCCAGTCCTGTGGGCCACACTTTCCTCAACTACTATATTTGATGAAGGTACTACCATGCATTTCACACAGGGCAGGGCAGAGTCCTGCCACACTGGGAGGTTTAAAGATATATGATGGTTCACTGGCATTGATTCCAGTAACCCTAGCCCTAAGCACTCAAACCTGTGTTGCACAAAGCAAGACACATTTGCCTAAATGAAGGTTGTAGCCTTGCACACATTCACCTGCCAGTCAATTTATGGAGGACCTTTTATTGGAGAGTGCATAAAATTTGAACTCACCAGGTTTAAATTTGCAAGTAAAATTTTCTGAACAATCTTACCTGATTGTTACACAAGCCAGAATTCTTAAACAATTCCATAAAATAGTGGACACAGATGAGGTTACACGCACTCATTTGAACTTGCGAAAGCTAAGAGGTCTCAGGGACAGAGTGGTGAACTTGCAGTCCAAATTCAGGTTAGCTGTTGAGTCACTGGTCTTACGTTTCATCATCAACATCCTATCTAAAAAAGGGAATAATAGGCAGTTTCAGAGGGCTGCTATGGGAATGAGTAGGAGAATGTCTTGCTTACTAAAATTGCTCTATTCACTAACATGCTTTCAAAACTGACACTAGATTGTTCTGTTGATAAAAGCTAATCAATTCCCCACTTTAGTCTATTACATGGCCTTGCTATTTCATATTGTATTGTTCACTTGTGCGTATGTTTGTTTCCTACTGCTTACTGCTGAAACCCCACTATTGCCATGAAGAAATAAAAGTGCATGTTACAGGGTAAAGCCTTCAACTGGCCAAATTATACTTGGCACCAGATGGAAGCAAAGATTAACTGAAATTATGAAAGCCTGAGTATGGCCAGATCATTTTGTTTTTAGAGCTGCTATGATGCTCTGGAACCACATCTGCTGTCTGAGTTTCTCTCCTCTCAGTGTCTGATTCTAGCAATTTTCCTTCTTTAACTGTTAAAGGGGATCTTTGCAGCACAAACCATTGGGTTACTTCTATACGCATTTCCTGATTAATTTCTCCAACCTTTCTCTAGTCTCATCAGCATTTGATAACTTTTTTTTTAATTTAGCCATCTAGCTCTTTACCTTGGTTAACATTCTATTCCAAAGTGGCCCGGCCTTAACTGTTTACCTGCAAGTGACTGTCACTGAATCTGAGTGAATATATTTAGGAGTGGACTGCGACCTGCAATCCCGTGTATGCTTACTTGCAAGCAAGTGCTACTGATTTCAGTTGGGCTTATGTCCAAACACACCTCATCAACAATGTCACAGTTCTATGCTGCTCCCTAGGAATTTTCTAGCCCTTTCTGTGACATCTTGGATGCCAATTCATGATGCTATGGTTCTGTTAAAGAAACTTCTAGTCTGGTTGCCATATTGTTCATGATGGTAGTGACTAACTATTTGGATTCTAATAACTCTTATTCTGGAATGTTATGGAGCTAATAGTAAAATGCTACTAATTAGGATGGCCAAATGCAAAAAAGGGCAGACCTTCTCACCTTTAATGGTTCATCTGCAGAAATACCCTCTTATTTGACTATTCAAGGTACAGAAGCCTTGCCCTCTTTTGCACTCAGGTGGCCAGCCTCACACTACAGAAAGGCCAAACCTTGGCCCATTGGCTCTAATTCTCCATTAGTATGTTCCCATCTGTAATTGTCCACGTAAACTTCCGTAAATGTATATTCTATTATTCTAAAGTTTTTAGTATTTCAAGTTGATAGACTGGGCTAAGAGATGGCAGCAACTGTGTTAAAACCCTCAGAAGGATGCTACTTCCCATTGTGCTATTTTTCTACTTGGCAACCCATAAGCAGGGTCTTCTGGAGACTTTCTTCTTATTTGTCCTTTACTGTGTATCCATTAGACCAATCCAAAACCAGAGAAAAATATCAATGACTATACATGTGTGTGTTTGTGTGTATGTATATGAGAAAGGAATATATGCTGGTTTTGCATCATGGCTATTTTGGTCATTGTGGTTAAGAACCAACATGGAAAATAAGAAGGGGAAAAAAGCGAAGACAAGAGACAAAGATCATTTAGAAACAAAGATGCCGGGAGAGACAGGAGGAAACAATGGAGGGCAAATAGACAGGATAGTGAAGCTGATAGCCAACAGGCGATATTCTGCCCCACATAATAAGTAGCACATGGTCTGTGGGATATAAATAGTCTCGCTGTGAGAGCTGCTGTCTGTAGTCCCCATACAAGCAATGCAGTAAACAGGGCTCAAATACCCCTGGAACCATGAGACCAACATTTACCTGTTTGGGGAAAATCCCACAGATTTCCAAGTCTAAGGACCAACCTGCACACTCATTATCACAGTTTGTTCCAACTGCGCCTCTTGCACAACCATCAGATTTGAAAAGAGCAGTGCTCCAGCACTGTGTAGATCACAATAACCTCTGTGAAAAAGACAGTACTGTTGTGAGGGATAACAAGGTCTCCATATGATATCCTGGCTTATTCAGAGTGCTAGATGTAGTCCTTTCTAGGTGAAGCCTTCCCCAAAACAGTGTGCTCCAGATGTATTGGACTGCAACTCCCATCATCCTCACAATGAAGGGGGTTGCAGTCTAACACACCCAGAAGGCACCAGTGGGGGAAGTCTGTTCTGGATGAAGCCAGACAACTGCTTGTAGAAAGAATTACATTAACTGAGAACATCCTTCCTCCTTATTTAAACAGTTAAATAAATAGGCGTAGTAGATGGATTTCTGCCACTAGCTTTTTCCAGACATATAAAGAATAGCTCAGAGAGTGCATTCCTTTGTGCTGGACATGCAGAAAAGAGCCTTGAATGCTGCCTTGTCGCCCAGCAAGGAAAGTCAACAAGCACTGCCTTATCTTCTGTGGTTAAAGGTGAGTGAGGTACACTTAGCAACCTTGAACAGCATTAAGCCAGGTGGCAGAACCCCCAAATACGATCTGGAAATCATACAGAAGCGGCTTTCACTAAGAACACCTTCTTGGCTCAGACTCATTTCCTTGGGTGATGTAATAAACATCCTTTTTTGTAGGCCCATTTGCCAATGATTAATCTGTTTTGAAGAATAGTCCTGTTACAAGCGATTCAAGCTGTTCATTAATTCCACCTCCCAGCCTCTCTTGAACAAAAAACGGTGATCATACCAAGATGGCATGTGGGATACTGCTGAGCTAAACACAACATGATCTGGAATGGCATTGCCTGCCACATTCTACTGTTGGCCAATTCAAAATTTGACTGATGATCTATGCAGTTAAGAAAGAGATAAAGAATGAAAGCATAGGAGGTAAACTAGCTATTCATTTGCTTTCTAAACTATGGCCATTTTAATCTCTTGCATCCATGTGTTCTGTGCACTGCAGTCCAATGTAAGCACTCAGCATTACATCCTATTGAAATCAGTGGGACTTACTCCCAGGTAAGTTTGTATAGGATTGTAGTCTTAGAGTTCTCTATGCTCCTCCTATAGAAACAAATGCATGAAAAAATAACTCTTGAGTTTGACCTCAGAGTTTGATTAAATTCCATGATGAAACAAAGTTGGCCTTTAATGGCATCCAAACACCTGCCATAGAATTAGCATTTTGTTTTGTATTAAATTCTTGACATGTTTTCAAGACATGTTGCTTTATTTACTCACATTATTTGCCACTGGACTAAACCAGTCCCATGATGAGAGAGTTCAGAAGAGCTCTCTCATAACTAAAGCTGCTAGGGGAAAATTTGTAACGTTCTTCATGTGCTAAATCTGTTTGGACTGAATGGAAGAAAAACCGTCTGGAAGTGAAACAAGAATACAAAAATATTAACAGAGAGGTCTATATCGAAGCTGTAAGTACCCCCAGATTTACTGAGGCTGTCATCATACCAAACTGTGACTAGTTATCCATACGTGTAAAATACCCTGAGTTGTCTAATAGAGACTCTCGTCTTTTACTGTTGACCTCACTCTTTCTGGCTTCCTCTTGGCAACAATTGCTTTCTGCATTCATATGCTTTCAAAATGGAATGCATAGCTAGCTAGCTCCTTCTGTTTCTACTCTCTCTCTCACACTCACACGAACAAAGCTAGCAAATGACATTGTTACTGTAAGAGCTGAAAAAATAATGTGCACCTCCTTTCCCTTCTCATCTCTCCCATGTTTGCTAAACTAAGAAAAATAAATAAATACCGTTTCTAATAAAGTGTAGGATTTGGTGACCACAAGTGCAGTACAGAGGGATGCCAAATGTCTTCTGACATCCTTTTAAAAATAAATAAATAAGCAAAGCTTGGTTTTTAGCCAAGTTTGGGGCTTCAACAGCAAGTTTGTGGGTTCTGGAGAGTCTGAATGAAATGGAAGCGCTCCCACATTGCATCTGCAGGTGCTACGTCAGACATGCTGTTTTCATGTCTGTTTGCTTTCTGACAGGGGTGTGTAATTCATGGTTGCTCAGAACAGCTCTCTTCAGAAGAGTCCCAGCTTTCACCACAGGCCAGCCAGAGCAGTTGAGTTTCCTCTCCTTGGACTGTGGCACTGTAGGGGAGAAAAATCCTCCTGAACCATCAATGTTAGTGTTTTCCCTTCCAGTGATATTTAGAGAATGTGGCTATGTGTGCATGTATATACAAACCCACACCGCTATTTCAGTTCAACTGTCGAATGCCAACCCTGTTATTTTCCACTAAGAGTTCATAATGCTGCCTCCAGACTGATGTTTCCGAAGCAGATTCAAAAGCCAGGAAATCTGAAGGGATGAAGGTTTCTTTTCCATAGGCTTTTCCTCTGTGTGGTTGCAACTGGAATGGAGGGCTGCTGCTTCTGAAGATTGTTCTTTGCTTAGTCTCGAGTTCGGTGCCTCCTCCTCAGGAAGAAGAAGCTGCTCTTTTGGGGAGGTCCTAGCAACATTGGCACTTGGCTTTTGTGGGTAATTTTTATCTGAAAGCAGAAGTCACAGATTTTTAGAGTTGGAAGGGGAACTTATCTAGTCCACAGCCACCCAGCTCCCATACAATGCAGAAGCTACAATGCAGGATGTAACCGGAGGCAATGCAAGCAGGCAGACCATAGTAGCCCTGAATTTCTGGGGGGCCATTTGCCTCCATCACCCTGTACTTGCTGGTGCAAATTACAGAAGCCCTGATTATCTCTGTTGCACCTGATCCACTTCAATTAGCTGACTTTTTGCCCACATGTGCTTTCTTTCTTTTTGACCCTCTTTAAATCATTCTGAGGGTTCTCTTACACTCTCCCCCAGTCGCTCCTCTCCACTGTCCATATATCCCCTTTTAATACACTGGGGTGTTTTTGGGGGACAGGCTCCTTTAAACACACACACACGCGCGTGAGAGAGAGAGAGAATGAGATTAGAGCATAAGTAAATTAGCATATGTAGACCTGTGCATTTTTTGTCCTCAACTTTTTCAGTGCCTAGCACCACACCAGCCTGTAACTACAGCAACCCTGGCAAATGGCTGTCCTGCTTTTGCTTAAATAGTAAAGAAAAGTCCATTTCCTCTTGAAGATCTCTCTTCCTCTGTCAGATATACCAGTATAAAGTTTCTCTTCATATTTAGCTAAAATGTGTTGCATCTTCCACTCACTGCCCTCTGGAGCAGGAGAGAACAAGTCTGCTCCATCTTCTGCGTGGCAGCCTTTCAGATATTTGAAGATTGCTATCATGTCTGCCCTTAAGCTGCTCTTCTGTAGGCTACACATACTCTGCTCTTTCAACCATTCCTCCTTGCATCAGGATTGCAAAATTTCACACAGCCCCTACACCAAGGACAGTAGGAGTGTTCTGCTACCCAAGTCCGTTAGAGGACCCTCTGCTTATATCTCCTTTCATCTCCAACATCCATTCATGCCAGATTATTATGACGACTAAATACATAATGAGGATAAGGCTCCTCTACCCTGTATCACTATGGGGAGCAAATGCTTTCACCCTAGCCACCTGCTTGCAGAAGAAAAATATTGCATTTGTTGGAATTCCCTCTTTACATAGCCACTCATGGGATGGGATCATTCCCCTTTGCTGGATCGGGTCACCCAACTGCAGCCTTCCCCAAGCAGGCATGTTGGACTACAGTTCCCAGCATTCACCACCAGGATGGGCAATGGTGGATGTAGATGATGGGAAATGTAATCATATATACCTGGAGGATGCTACACTGGGGGAAGATATCCTTACTGTGTGCTGTGCTCTGTGGAGTCAAAGAGAAAGCCACAAATCCAGTCAGCTGCACTGGAGTGACAAAATGAAAGAGAGGATAACAAATGTGCCACGCCTGAGAGATCAAGCCCATCACCCACATAGACCCAGACTGAAAAGAGGCAGTGATTTGCAGTAGGAGTCCCTGCCACCAACACCACCTAGTTTATTTCTATAGCTAAATTTTCTGGGCAGTTTACAGAAGCACATAAAATATAAGAACACAACAAAAAGATACAAATAACAGTAACACAGTGTAAAAAATTACTACAAAATTTTAAAACCAGATTTAAAACTGAATTTAATGACTGCAATTACTATTGCAACAGGCAAATTAAGATGTAAGATTTGTTAGGCAGCTGATTTAGGGTTGATTAAATGCTGATCAATTGTCATAGAAGGCAATTTTAACTTGATGTTGAAAAGATGGTAAAGCTGATGCCCAATGGGCCTCAGTGGGGAGCTTGTCTCAGAATTGGGGGACCACCACTGAGAAGGCCTTCCTTTTTGTTACTAATTGAGACTCTTTTGGAGGTGGCATTCAGAGGCAGGCCCTAGATCTTGTCCATAGTGCCCAGGGAGGATGCATTTGGGAGAGGCATTCCATCAAGGGTTGTGGTTTCAAGCTGTGTAGGCTTTATAGGTTAAAGCCAGCACCTTGAATTGAGCTCAGGAACATACAGGCAGCTAATGCAAGTAAGCCAGAATTGGTGTTATATGTTCAGACTTTCTGATGCCAGTTATTCATCTAGCGGTCATATTTTGCACAAACTGCTATTTCTGAGCAGTCTTCAAGGGCAGCCCAGTGTAGAGTGCACTACAGTAGTCTAAATTACCAGAACAGATATTTTCATAGCTGGGCCACCAGCTGTAGCTGGTAGAAAGTATCCTGAGCCACAGAGGACACCTGAGCCTCAAGTGACAAAGATGGCTCAAGGAGGACTCCAAATCTACAAACTTGCTCCTTCAAAGGGAGTGTGACCCCATTCAGAACAGGTTGAAATTCCTCTGCCAGGTCAGAAAAATCACTCACTAATAGCATCTTAGTCTTGTCCAGATTGAGGTTCAGTTCATCAGCTCTGATCCATTCCTTTGTCACAGTCAGTTTAGCACATCCACAGCTTTATTGAAGATGAAAAGGAGTGATAGAATGCACTCCAGAACTCTGGATGACCCCACTCAGCAGTTTCATATAGATGAAACTGCCTGAGGCATGACTAATCCTGTGGGAATTCCACATTGAAGAATCCAAGAGGTGGAGCAGTATCTCCCAAAAGCATCAGCTTCTTGAACTGATCATCCAAATAAGAATGCAACCAATGCAACAACATAGCTCCCACTTCCAACCCAGACAACTGCCCCAGAAAGATATAATGGTATTGAAGTCACGGAGAGATCCAGGTGTATTAAGAGAATCAAACTCCCCTCTCCCTCTCCTGGCATAGATCATCATAAAGGGTGACCATGGCTGTTTTTCTGCCAAAACATGGCTTGAACTGCCACTGAAGTGGATTTGAATATTCTGTCTCATTCGAGGGAACCTGGAACCTTGTCCCATGCCATCACCAGTTCAATAACCTTTCCCAGGAAAGTGATATTAGCCACTGGCCTAAAACAATTGGGATCTGCTGGTTCCAGTGAGAATGTCTTCAGGAATGGCCTTGCCACTGCCTGTTTCAGGTAGAGTGGGGCCATTCCTTCTTGTAAAGAGGCATTGATCACCTTCCTAGCCCAGACAGCCGTTCTCTCTCTGTTAGCTTTTATAAGCCAAGAGGGGCAAGGTTCCAGTACAGATGTGGTTGCATGAACCTGACCAGGCACCTTGTCAACATCCTCAAGCTGTACTAACTGGAACTCATCCAAGAAAACTTGATCAGGCTGTCCTTTGGGTATCTCGCCAGATTCAACTGCTGTAACACCAGACTCCAAGTCCTGGCAGATGCAAAAGTGGAAGTGCCTACCAAATATATTACAGTGGGCTTCAGATGGGTCTAAGATGTTCCTGGGGCCAGAATGCGGTAGGCCCCAGATGATCCTTCAGGATTTCACTGGATAGCAAAGGGAGGCCTGCACAGAAGCAGCTAGGTGTATCTGTTCTTACTGCCTCCAGCTATACCTCAGTATAAGAACATTCCTGGGCTGAATTGCATCCACTAGGAGTTTTTCTCCATCTGTACTCAAACCATTTCTTCTTTTTTAAAGCAACAGAACTTATTTTAAATGCCCATCTTTCTCTCTCTCTCTCTCTCCATATATATATGGATTTGTATACATAACCATAGAAATGAATACATATGAAATGTCCATATATGCAAATGCAACTTCTGAGCAGTTATGCATACGCTTGTAATTTCTCCCCACACAATTCTTTTCCTTGCTCCTTCTCCTTCCCTCCCCTCCCCTCCCTCCTTTCTCCTTTTGCCTGCCTAACCTCCAGCCTTGTTCTTTCTCCCCCACTCATTTACCCCACTGTTTCTTTCCACATAAGCTTCCAGCCTCACTTTTTCTCATCCCTCCATCCCTTGCCATGCTATGTACACCTCCCTGCCAGCCTCTAGCCTTGCTATTTTTTTCCCACCTCCATTTTTTTGCCAGGCCACCATGGCAGCCATTATGTGACTAGCCACATCCTCTGCAAGAGCCATTTTGTACCGGTGTCCCTGGCAGTTTCTCAAATTCACAAATGTGCTCACAGATCCGAAAAGGTTGGGGATCCCTTGATGCTTAGGTTAACCCAATGCAAATGTAACTCTTGAAAAGAATTCTGCTTTTTCTCTCCTGCAGATTGAAGAGAAACCAGTATTGGACAGCATCAGTTTGCTTTTTCTTTTTCTTTTCAGTTTTGGGGATCCTGTAATTCAGGATTTGTCCTCAGTATATGAGCAGTAGGGAAGAAGGAGATGATCCCCTTCCACAACCACTCGAAGAGAACCTTTTGCTAGGATGCCAAAACTTCATCTGTTTCCCTTTGCAGGGGAGCTGGGTTGTCACTTTCCCTTTCTACCAATGCTATTAAGGAGTAAGGCACTGGATGGGGAAGGGGTAAAAGTACCATCTTCCTAGGACCTTACACATATGTCAAGGCACCTCAGCCTCCCTCAGAGCTGTGCAATCTTTCAGGTCAACTGAAGTTTCTTCAGAATAACATGCCAGTGGGGGGTGGGGGGTGGCAGGGAGAGTATTTGATTTTGCAAGGCTTCTGGTAACCATCAGTCAAGTTAAATGAAAGAGGTGTAAACAGCTGGATAGAATTTAGCACGGCTCCTATAGAACAGGGGAATGCTATGGCTCAGCAGGCATTGTTAGATTACAGATCCCATCACTTCTCAATATTGGCTATGCTGGTTGGGACTGAGCTGTAGTCCACCAACATCTAGAGGGCCATGTCTCCCACCCTTGCTATTGGTGTTACGCTCCTTGTAGAGTGAATGGAGTTGGTGATCTGTATTGGTACTCTTCAGTTGGAGTATTTCCCAGAAATGACTGATTGGAGATTGTGCCTCTCCAGCTAGAAAATCATATTTGTGAGCAATATGTAAGAGCCATAGTTGGAAAATGTGTCATTTATGGAAGTCTGTACCACTGATAATCTGGGGGAGATTCTGAGCTTAGTCATTTTTCCACCAGGTACTCAGCAAATGCTTCATTTCTAGAACACAGAAGCCAGGCGCACAAGGGCTGTTCAGTGGTGAATTTAGGCCATGGGGCTCTCTTTCTTCCACTAAAGAGATACGGGGATTTCCTTTCCAGTACACAGATGCAACTAGTGCTGATGAGTGTCCTCAATGTAAAACCACCTGTAATATCCTATTATGTGGGAAAGGAGACCTTCCCATCAGATAGCATGACAAAGTATTCCTGGAGTGTTTGAAATGGTTGTGTTGCCCAGGGATGGTAGTGGCCTGCTTCATAATAAAGAAATAATGACTAGGCCATGAGAGAGTGGTACCCTGAACAGTTTGGGGTGAAGAGGATCTAAGCCAAGAGAGTCTCCTCCCATTTGTGGCTGCTCAGTCCTTTACCTCAGGGGAGGGCAGATGATAGATCTCTAGATATTTGGGACTTCAGCTCCAAAATATAGGAAGCTGAAGTCCAAAACTTCTGGAGATCAACATTCTGCCCATCCCTGCTTTAAGTAATCTTTGGAGGCTTTCCTCTGGGTGCCTCCCTGCTGAGAAGGGGTCAGCCTTTTCGCTCATTATGGTCCGCTCCATTGGATTCATCTGATTATGAGGAGGTGGCAGAGGAGCAAGGGGAGGGGTGAAGCATTTGATGTTTCAAGGTCGCCTAGTGAATTTTCTCAGAAAGAACACAAGAACCAGCCTGTCTGAGAAAGGGAGGAAGATGTTTCAGAGATGCAGGGGAAAACAATGGAAGGAGAACTCCTTGACCCAGTCAGGAGATGACAGGTGAAATGAACGGACCAAGTATCTGGTGTTCCTGCTGGCTAGTCCACAAGCAGAAGGAGCCACCCTGAGGGTGGATCCAGAAGATTTGCCAAATGGGAGGGAAGAAGGGGAAATTTCACTTTGGATTCTGTTCTTTGCATAGGCAGATGCTTCTTCCACGTCTCACAGAGACTGCTATTCTGACGGCTGCTGTGCAGTAACCAGTTAAATGTCAAGGAACTTGTTTGAGTCTACTGAAAGGGAGGGAATGAGGGAAGTGATCTCCCAAGTGACTCCCTTCCCATGAAGTTAGGCAGGTGGCTACAAGAACGAGAGCCTTCCCAGCTGTGATACCCCATTCATGCAATGCCCAGTTTCACCTGGTGCCTGTACTGTTATATTTTGAATGTCAGGCAAAGAGATTTCTCCTTTCTTTGCCTGACATACAAAACATAAATTCTAGGTATGTATTAATGTGGTTATATTTTAGGGCCTTTGCATTTTTGTGCACTGCATAAATAATAAACAAAGAGACAAACAAACCAACCCTGAAGAAACGGGTTATATAGACTAGCATTTCTGTTCAAAGTTCCCTTATACTGCCAAGAAAAGACCTGCTTACAGTCCCCACAACACACACATGCACCCCTGTTGCTTCTGGGGAAAAAAAGGACAAGTCTGTCTGGTTCTGTGTGCAAAATGAGCAAGACTGCTCATTGGAATACCTTTAATGGGGGATGGCGCTGAGATAGTCGTTAAGTCCTTTAGGTAATGTGGAGGCAACACAAGATTAAGATAGCCTCCACCCCTGAGATGATTCAAGTGTGACAGGCTCCCCAGAAACTTTTTTTGTCTGATTGATCCTCTGTGACAAAGTTAGGGTCTCAAAGTGACATGAAGGATGGAAGGGGCCGGTGTCCAATATCACACAGAAAATGAAAGCAAATTCCTCAGTATCTCCAGGTTATCCATATAACTGCTTTGGGAAAATATTTATCCAGCCTCCATGGGTCCAAGTGAAACCAGCATTATTTCCATCAGGGGCATTAGCTCACATAGCAGTACAAGCAATACTTAATACATATTGTGGGAATAAAATAAATACCATGCAAGTGTTTAAATGACCAATGAAAAACATACTCCTAGTGATGCAATTTCCTGACCAGTAGTGACATTTGTATGTAAAAATCTGAGGATCCTTTATTTTCAAGTGAAATGCTTCTGTGCAACATTCTGTTCTACCCATTTGCAGATAACGAAGGGCAATTTTATAATCCCATAGCGTTCCTTTAACATGTCCAACACATCTTCCTTTGAGGCATGGCATGGGTGGCATGGGTTGGTTGTTTGCTGAACAACCCAGAATTCATTCAACAGACTATCATGCTTACACCATGGGCTGTTCTCTCCCTCTTAGGTCCCCCAGCTGGCTCCAGCAGATATCCCAGTGTCCTTCACAGCAGAATCCATCTTTTGTCTCCCTCCTCACTCTGGCTGCTACCCATTCTCAAGCACTGTTATTTTTTCCCAGAACGTCAAAAGGTGCATTAAAAAACCCCAACAAGACTTTGAGAATTGCATGATTCTGTAATTTTTAAAAATTAAGTAGTTCTTGTCTCTCTTTTGCAAGTGCACTTCTTATGGCTACCAAATATCTGTAGTCTTATCCAGTCAATTTCCTTGTCCTTTTCAGCAGCCAAAAGGAGCTGAGAATTGGAGCAGGTAGCAGATTGGCTAATTTGTGCTAGGGCTCAATTGCCAAATTGTCAATTGAAAAGCTGCAGTAAAGGGGAAAAAGATGAGCGAGGAAGGTGTACCAAAAGTGGTGGGGCAGTATTTCTTCTAATCCTCTCAATTTTAAGAATTGAACTGGCAGTTCTCAGAATTTTAACACTCAAGCAACACTTTTCTGAGCATACAACTACTGAGAAAGGAGAGATAGTAACTTCCACACACCTTCTTTGCTGCTGCCTTTTAGGGCACACTGCTGCAGTTGAACTGTTTCCTGACAGTTCTAAAAACCCGCACAGAAATATGTTCAAATATAATGGATGAGAAGTAAATGGAGGGAAAATGTGCATATCTTCAGTAACAACACCAAAAAGGAGCCCTAGAAAAGAGGTGAGCTACATCCCCTTTTTCTGGAATAGCTGGAAAGTTGGGGAAACATTGAAAAGGTGGACAACAGTGTCAGTTCAACACTTAAGTCAGTTCAACAATTAAAATCAAGAGGGTCACATCCCATGGTACGCTTACTCATTCGGCTCCTCACCCTATTTTCAGTCCTCCTCCTGATTCACACTGTGAAGGTCCCCACTTTCTCTTACTGTTATTTCTTTCCTGGCCCTTTGCAGCTGTGTCCAAATTTGCTGATAAGTAGCTTTGTCTTTTCAATCATCACATTAGATAGTCATTAGGATGTGTGAGTATGGGAATCTGTTGGATTCCCTGCTCTCAGCTCCCTGGACTCAGGCTTGCTTTCTTGGGGACACGAGTCCAATTTCCCTGTGACAGTGGTGAGCATTTCCATGACGCTTGCCAGGAAACAAACAACATGTGACTGTTGTGCAAGCAGCATCCCTCTTACACACACGATTTGCAACGACTGTTTTGAGTTGTGCGAGACACTTTAGAAGGTTGCTGGTTGTGCAGCTGGAGTTCTGCAAGTGTTTGTGCCTTCTTCTTGGTTTGGTTCACTTTCTGAGACATGGCTGAACATATGAGGAAGTCCACAAGCCAAAGAGGAATGAATTCCAGGGAGCTTTGTGGCAACAGTGCTCATAAGTCTATACTTGAAGAAGACTGACTCCCTCATTTTTTTAATTGACCAGATCTGCATATTTTTGAGGCACTGAAAAGAAAAAAAAGCTGTGGAACAAGGGACATTCCTTCCAAAGTGTCCTTTCAGCATCAGTAGGAGGACAGTCACTTTCAAGGTCACAAAAGGCAAGCAAAATAGGGGTTTTTTTTGCAGTTTTTGCTCAGTAGCTCAGTAGCTGATTGTGCTATGGCATGATAAAATTGGTCTTCTGCAATATGACAACCTGTTGTGCATGAGCGCACCCCTAGAACTGTGTGGCATGTTCCTGAAAAAGACTTCCTCCCCCCTCCCCCCCGCCCCACACAGAAAAGCTCCTGGAGGTTCAGATGAGATAACAACCTGCCCTGGCAGGCTGCCCATGTTTGTTTCTCATCTCATATGAACCAGGTCACTGACTGATGCTTTCCAATAATCTCCATAATGATATACAACTGCCATAGAGCTCTCTCCCGTTAATTTTTCTTTGATTTTCCATTAGGGATACAAATGTATTCCAAATGGCTATGACATCAAAGGAGACAGAAGCAGCATACGTCCCTCTTCTAAAATTGTGAGAGGGATTCTTTGCTAGGGCACCATAGATGTTTTCCTTCTCTGCTTGTATTAGAATAGAAGCTTTTTTAATGTTGAGCCTTTTCCTAGCTCAGCTACTGGTTCTGGGTCCCATTTGTAGCTCAGGCCCTAGAGAGATGCCTTCCATAGGCGAGTTCCATTCATGTACCCCAGGGAGCTTTCATGAGCTACTACTCACTGTGCAAGGAGGCTGCATCCAAGGCTCTCCATCCACTTGCATGGGCAGCAGTTTGGTTGTCCTAGAATCCACAAACAAGGCACAATGTAAACATTATGAGTGAAGTAGACAAGTCAGGACATGACTGTTTCTTGCTGCAAGCTGCCAATAAAATGATTTGTGGGGAAAGGGGGAGATAAAGAACATGACTTTGTGATCTTCTCTTGGTGATGGCTGGTTAGGACTCTCTAGATAACGTTCTCAGAATGGAGATGCAATAAATGAGCAATCTGTTGCGGAGTAGAAGGTTCAAGGGCAATTTGCATGGATCAGTTCGATCTCTGACATAGTTTGCATAATGTACATCGAGTATGAGCCTGTAATTTACACAGCTCCAATTAGTGGCTACTATAATTATTCCTAATTGGTGGGCAATGATGGGCAATAACTTTGAGCTTTTGTTGTTGTTCTAATTTAAAAGCATAATTCTGTGTTTGGATTATAATTTTTTGCCACCCTATTTTCACGATTGCAACCATGAGGGCTGGAAGCTTAATTTCCATGATAACAGATATTTCCAGGATTGTAACAAAGACCTTGCTATGCAAAAGTGGATGAGAGAGTGGGTCCAGACTTTTTAAGGTTCCTGCTTCCTCACCTGATTGACCTAGAGGTCTTAAATGGCCTAGCTTATCAGGTGGCAAATGTGCTCCCATTTCATATGTACATAGGACTGAACCCATTGGATTTAATTTCAGCTGAACAAGCATAGAATGTTGCTGCTGGGCTGCAATTCTAGGCATACTTATTTAGCAGTAAATATCAGTGAAATAAATGGAACTTATTGCTGAGTGACCAAAGTTAGTATCAGGATGGAGGTATCCAGTTGGTAACTGACAGTGACTCTTCCACTTTTCTAATGACAAGTGCAACCTGAGTAAAGGGGAGATGTGAATTACTTGTAATAGCAGATATAAGGTTACAAGGCATTACAAAAAAACTTAGGAACCTTTTTTTTTTTAAAGTAATGTCCAAAAGAGCCAGACCCTTCGTTTTCACATGGCACAAACCACCTTATTTTCTAGGATAGAAGTCTGGGTGAAATGATTTCATCTGTACACCCAGGTAGAAGATCAATACCAAGGGATAAACCTGGGAAGGAAAGGATTTGCAAATGCCCTCAGGGCAGATAGATGTGGAAACAACTTCCGAACAAGTCCAGGTTCTTCTTTAAGCATAAATATTCCATTCTAAGTACAAGTAAGAAATCTCTAAAGGTGCTGCTGTTGAAAGGCAAAACACTTAAATAATTTGCAATAACTCATAAAATTAAGCTTTGGGAAGCTAAATTTATCCACACCTTTCCTCTTGCAGTGCAAAAAACAGCTGGGGAGGATTTGGGGTGGGGGACAGAGAAACACCACAATGGGGAAAAGATAAGCCATTTCCCCTTAATATTCTGATTTTAGACTTCAGCCTAAACAGCTGCATTACAAGAGCTTTGGGGTGGGGGTAGGGCATCCTATGAGCCCAGAACAGCTCCCTGGAGTTACTCCTCCTTTTTACTTTTGCAGCCTGCTTGTTCTTCTGATTTTCACTCTCTTCCAGGCAATGGAAGGGGTGAAGAAGAAGAGCAGGAGGTACCATTACCGACTTGCTCAATGGCTCTTCAAATATCAAGCAAGCATGCGGTAGCAGTGATGATGATGAGGAGGACGAGGAGCTAGTGAAGTTGAGAAGAGTGTGTTGCCCAAGTGCCTACAAAAAGTGTACCATTAGCTCTGTCCTTCCATGTCTCCTCCCAGTCTATCTTTCTGCTTCTCATTCATGGGGCCATCCAACCCATACCCGCTTTGGACTACCCATATACACTTATGAGTGGAACCTTACTCTAAGTAAAATAGAACCCCAGTTCCTGTCAGGAGGAGTATTTGAAACTAGAAAAAGAGTGGCATCTTAATCGCCTTTCTCCAGGGTTGCCTGTCCAGGAACAATGGCTACACATCACCTCCAAAGCCAGGTTGCCGTTCCCCTAACTTTTGCCCCTCAGCATCTCATTCATTTTCTCCTCAGGACCCAGGATGGTGTGCTGGGGCACCCTGGCCCTTCTCCCAGAGAAATGTAGCACATCTTTTTGCCATGCACAATGCTGTACTTGATGGGCTCTGCCTCTTCTTCAGCACTACATAAACTAGACAAGGCAGTTTGTATCTGAGTAGGATACTTGTGTGCACAACCATAAAGAGGTAGCAGAGACCTCCAGGATGCTTCCCTGCTGTGCTGCAATCATTTCCAGGGCTGAGATGATGAGCCAAACATGTGATGAGTGGGAAAAAAGCCGCAGAGGTACCTGATGGTGACGGAGGAACACTGGGCGAGCCTCTTGCCAGCACTCTTCAATCCAGTGTAGATCTGCCCCATTTCCATTGCCCCTTCAAGCCCCACAACTTCCAGGAGTTGATCACTGAGGTCTAAAGAGAGAAAGGTGAATGTGTTAACGGAACATGTTTATTTTGTATTGTTTATGTCTATTGTTGTCCTAAGTTGGTATTCTTGCTTATATTGCTTAAGCACCAAGAATGTTTTAGTATTTTCATAGCTAAACCACCTAGGTATTTTATTATATTAAACAAGAATAAAATAATAATCCTCATTAAAAAAGGGATGCCCCATTATGCTATCATATAGGCATAATGCTGAGGAGGAGGACTGAGAAAGAGGATGCACATAGGAGCTGAATCCCTCACCTGTTTCACCTTTCCAATGCAGAAAGTTCCAGGTTCAACCCTTGAGATCCCTTTTAAAAAGTATGTCAGGTAGCCCTCTGTCTTTTGTATGCATGTTGCCAACCAGCATAGAAAGTACTATGCTTGAGGCATGGATTGGAGCCACATGGTGCAGTGACTGTTCTGAGGCTAAGCAGGTTTGCCTCTGATCAATGCCTAGATGGGAGACTGCCTTGAAACTGCATGTACTCTACCTTGAGTTCCACGTGGAAAAGGTGGCATTTGGAGATAATACATGCTATCCAGTAGTCTGATTCAGAGGAGGCAAACTCACAGGCTTACCTTGCAGTAGAATTCTTAATTTAAAGTAGGAATTCAGACCTGGAGAAGTGTGCTAGACTGAAAATGGATTGCTTCATGTTTTGCCTTGCAATTAGTTAGTTTCAATTCCCATCTGGGCCCTCTCATAGAAGGCAAATTCCCAGAATTAAAGGCACAACACGGCACATGCATTGTGTGGGTGCTGTTTCATCTATCATCTGTGATACTCACAGGCCTTGTGCCCAGGTGCCAGAGATGTTTGTGCGACTACATTCCAAACAGTACCACAAACCACTGTGACTAATCTTGCTTGGGAAAATAAAATCACATTCCCTGGGGAAATTAGTTGAAGACTTGACAAAAGCGATACTCCTGAAATGGAAGCATATCCTTGGGTATGGAAGGAATGCCTAGATCCTATATGCAAACAAGTGGGAGTAACTGTTGAGCATTTGGTAGCACTCTTGAGGAGCAGCTCCCATTCATTTTCAGATGACAAGTTTAAGATAAAATCTGGGTGCACTGTGCATCAAATGCACAGTGGCTGCCCACATGTGAACTAAACACAAGCACCTTCCCTTAAGGGGGTGTTGTTTTATTCAAGGATATGGCATTTTTTCCAGGATTCAGGACAGATGAAGTGGCTCATGATCGGCAGGGAGGCCTTGCCTTGCCTTGCCCTTTTAGCTGTTTGCTTGGAAAACCTTGTTGCTTGAATTCAGCTGTGTCCTTGTGAGGTCGCTTTTGTGTTGTCTGTTGTTTGGGGAGAAAAGTGTATCCCAAATTAACAATAAATAGCAGGCAAAGAGAAATAAATGTGAAAGCTGAGCAAACTGGAAGCATTTGCCTATTTCACACCCAGCCGTTTGTCTGTGCCAATTTTAGGCACCTGCAGACCTAAAATTGGAGTCGATTCCATGTAGTCATTTCCCTTCTTCATTGCCACAAAACAGCTTTTTTAATTTCCCAAAGCTAAGCCTGGCCTGAGAAGCTCCAGATCAGTGTTGGTGGCCTCGAACTACTCATCAGCTTTAGATTTCCTTCTTTTGCTCTGGGCAGTCCATTGGACTAACATGTTCCATCTCTAAAACATGGTCAAACCTCTAAATATTCCAGTAGGAATGTTTTATTCTGATATAATTCTTTTTTCCCTTTTTTCCAGGTGATAAAGTTGTGGATCAGAGCTGCCAGTAGCTCAGTTCTCCAAATGCTCTCCTGGAACATGTTTCTTAGGGTAACAACATGGTGTGTGTTGGCAACAGGTTCTGAGGATTAGGTGTATAGAGGATCCTGTACAGTTGCCTTGCAAAGTTAACTCCTTTGTGTGAGTCAAGACTAGTTTATAAATAACCCCTGTTGGGTGTCCTTCAAGGAGCAATCATTGACAGTACTGAGAAATCCTCATGTCAGACCTTGTCACACTGTACCTGATGGCTTGTTTGCTGGCTAGTTATCTGTTATTTATTACATGCGCATGCTGTATAAAGGCAGCATGCAAACTCATATTGCTGCTGGTGGGCAACCCACCCGGGAACCAATCATTCTTGCGGGGGGGGGGGGGATGAGAGACCCGTTTTATAAGGAAGCCTCAAGTCAGCTGGACTTGGCCTGCAAGCCTTTTGTTGTCAACCTCTGCTCTATTGCTTTAAAGCTACAATCCTCAGAAAACTACCTCTATAACTTGGCATTTCAAAAAAGTGATCTGAATTTGTGCTATCCACTGTTCCAAATGAAGATTCTGCCTAAAGGCTCACTTTGAGGATTGTGCAGTAAATGCCTGCAGACCTCGCTGCCTCTGATTCCATTTCAGTTTCCGTTTCTCCGCTCTGAGATGCTCCTTCATTAGTCACAATGGAATATTCTGCAGAGAGTGCTGTTTTACCATCTCTGCAACTTCCTCTCTCCTGCTTGCATTGTAGCCTGTAGCTGTATTAAAGCATCTTTTAAATTAGTCATTCTGCCGTGCTGAAGCAACGCCTGCTCTGCTGTACTCCTTTCCAATGCTTTCCGCTTTCTCCCACATGGATATAGATAGGCCTCTGCCTTATTTTCAGCTAGCCACTCTCACCAAAAAAGCATTTCAGAAAAACTAGCAGTCTGATCCATGAATCAGTATCCTCATCTTTACCTTCCATTTCCAGCTGCTCTGCCTTGCCCTGCCCTATCTTGCAAGCCTCATCATTAGACTACCTCTTTTAATGTTTAATTTCCTTACATGATCTATTTTCTATAAAACCTCAGACTTTTAGGGAATTGGCATGGATAGAAGGGGATGAAAAATGAAAACCTTAATTAAACTCAGGTTAAAGATGAATTAGTAATCATTTCCCCATCTGCAAAATAATTATATTGTGCCATACCCACCTACCCACCTTATCCTGAAATCAATGAGTTGATGCTCAAGATGTAAAGATATAACTAAGAACAGAACAGATTGATAGAGTTGGAATGAAGCTAGTCCAAATTAATCCCAATGGCAGAACCCATCCAACCCTTTTATCCTTCCAGCCACCACGTGTCACAAGCTGAACAAGCACACTGCCCAGAAGTTGTAAAGAACAAGTAAATTGACACAGATCACTGGAACAAGCCACACATGGTTGTTTCTTTAGCAGCAATGTAGCCGCACTACTGTGCTCATATTTTGGGAACGGGTTGCACAGAACACCAATAACAAAAAAGCTGAAGGCCAATGGTCACAAACTCTCTCTTCTTTGTGTCTCTGTTTCCAAGGGAAAGGTAGGTGTGCTTTCTCCTGGGTCACACTTATGCTCACAGCTGGAAGCCAGCAGTGTTGGCTGCATTAAAAGATTATTTAGATCTGTTAATTATGGTTCTTTGGATGTGGTTGGTAGGCTCTATCTATGCTTGGCTAATTGTCAGGGTGTGCCCTGCCATAGTCACAAGATGTGTCTGGCCTTATGCTGACTCTTTCAGCCTGTGCCTTACTGAGCAAGCTGTGGATGTAGTCAGAACCTGAGGAAGGATGGCTCTCCTCAAGAACAAAAAGTAAGTAACAGCACTTCTCTTCTTCTGCATATGTAGCTATTATTCCTGCCAAGGTTTCAGCTCTATGCAGAGTTGGTACCAAAGGTAGGTATGATTGGTCACCTATTGAGGGCCCATGTCCCAGCAGGGGCTCACTGATAAGAGCCCCTTGGAGTTGTTTCTCCATTGCTCCATCATTGCACCTGCCTCACACTCTGGCCCAGACAGCAGTTGTGGAGCAAAAAGGAGCATTCGTTTTTGCTGCCAGGTTGCTCACTGGATGAAGAACTAGGAGTTGCTGACAATGGCAGTAAGAAGGTAGCTTGCCAAAGTAAGGGTCCATTGAAGATGTCTTGCCAAAGAGTCCTCAGAAACCTAGAAGTAGCACTAAGACTCTGCTTTGTAACTCAACCTTAAAACCTATCCTGAGTGCCTGGTATTCACTTCTGAGAATCCCACTTGAACTCTGTTCTTGTTTGCCTGCCATCCTGTGTACCAGATCATATCCATTTTAACATCTTTGTGCAGGATATTACTTTTATAACCACACTGACTGTAAAACATGCACTCGAGTTAAAGATTGTGCCTTCTGGGACAATTACATTCACAGAGTGCACAAATTAAGAAAATAGTGGAAGACTTCTTTACAAAGCTATATCAGAAGGAGGAGATTCCAATTGAGAAAGTTAAAGAATATATTCGAAAGGAAGAATTACCAAAACTACCAGAAAAATACCAAAAATTATTAAATCAAGAAGTCACAATTACGGAAGTAATAGAAGCAATTAAGCGACAAAAGAATGACAAAACCCCTGGCCCGGATGGACTACCAGCCAAGTTTTACAAATCTTTTGAAGCAATTTTTGCTACACTCTTAAAAGACATATGCAATGAAGCATTGTTAAATGCTAAAATGCCGACTACTTGGACCGAGGCAAAATTACATTAATACCGAAAGAAGATAAGGATGTAGCACAGATTCAAAATTACTGACCTATATCACTATCAAATGTGGATTACAAAATTTTTGCTTCTATACTCACAGAAAGACTAAAGAAGTTATTAATAGACTTTATCCATCCAGACCAGAATGGCTTTTTGCCAAAAAGACAAATGAAGAATAACCTGAGAACTATCTTGGACATTTTAGAATATTATGAGATACATACTGAAAAACCAATGGCTTTATTGTTTATGGATGCCCAAAAAGCCTTTGATAATGTTAATTGGCAATTTATGAAGCAACAGATGATTCAAATGGAGTTTGGTGGAAAATTTACGAATGCAATAGCAAGTATTTATCAAAAACAGTCATCCAGGATCTTAATTAATGGAGAACTTTCAAACTCTATAGAGATCCAAAAGGGCACAAGGCAAGGATGTCCGCTGTCACCCCTCTTGTTCATTTTGATTTTAGAGGTACTGAATAGATGTGTTAGGGATGACAAGGACATCAAAGGAACTACAATTAGGGACAAAAGTTATAAATTGCAAGCCTTAGCGGATGATTTGGTTTTTATAATGGAGGAACCTTTTGTAACAATGCCTAAACTTCTACAACGGATTGAGGAATATGGTGACGTTATGGGAATGAAAACAGAGAAAAAATGAAATTGTTAGTTAAAAACCTTATGCGAGAACAAAAAGAAAGACTCCAGGAACAAGTAGATTTGCAGATTGTTAAAAAGGTTAAATACTTGGGAATCTATCTTACAGCAAAATGTACTATTTTCAAAGAAGATAATTATGATAGATTATTGAAGGATATTAAAGGTGTTTTGGAAAAATGGGCCAATTTACAATTATCTTCGATGGGAAGAATAGCACTTGTTCAAATGAATATGTTACCTAAACTTCTGTTTCTGTTTCAAATGATTCCCGTAAAAATTGATCAAAAAATTCTTTGATGACTTAAATTTTCATATCTCAAGATTTATCTGGAGAAAAAAGAAACCAAGGATTAAATTAAAAATGCTTCAGGAAGCTAAAAGGAATGGAGGTTTTGGTCTTCCTGATTGGATGTTGTATTATCAAGTGTCTGTTCTAACTTGGCTAAAAGAATGGATAATGCTGCGAAATACGAGAATTTTGTATCTTGAAGGTCATGACTTACAGATGGGATGGCATGCTTATATGTGGTATGAAAAAGCTAAGTCACATGGGTCGTTCCTGAGTAATTTTATTAGAAGATCTTTAATGTCAGTGTGGGAAAAACTAAAGCTAAAACTGTATAATAAATTACCAAGATGGCTTTCACCTATGGAAGCTTTTGTATATCCAAATGTATTGAACTTTGAAAAGTGCATAAGATATGGTGATATCTTGGATAAGGATGGTGGCCTGAAACTGGAGCAAGAAATACAAGAACAGGGACTTAATATTTCCTGGTGGTATAAGGTGCATATGCAATCGAGATACGCTAAAGATTGTAAAACATGGGGGTTCTACAAAGACCTAACAGAATTTGATCAAGTGATGCTTAAAACAGATGAGAAAATTATTAAAAGACTATATGATTTTTTACTTGACAGGAAAATAGAAGGGGAACAGGTTAAGGAAACTATGATAACATGGGCACAAAACTTTGGATTTAATGTTGAACTAGAAAAGTGGCAAAAACTATGGGAAAGAAACATTAAAGTAACATTAGCAACTTCATATAAAGAAAATTTATATAAAATGTTCTATAGATGGTGTTTGTCACCAAGTCAATTAGCTGGCTGTGCCAAAGGGTTAGGCTTCACTCCAACAGGATGGGCATTCTGACAGCTGGTAAACTTGTTTGAAGACATCACTTTATCAGATTAAGGGCTGCTCCAACCTATGTGAAGCTGGGTCCATACAGCTTTAAATATATAGAGGCAGGCAGGCAGGCAGGCAGGCAGGCAGAGAGAAAAAGAAGAAAGCAGGGAAGAATGCTTCCCTCCTGCTTAGAGTTGACAACTTTTTTCATGCCAAGTGTCTTGTAAAGCAGGTAAACATTTCAACATTGCTGCATGCCCACATCCTAATTCAAATAATGCCCCACTGTTAATAGGGATGGGGGAGAATTTCACTCAGAAACAAGTTGTACATGAATTGACTTAATTTGACCTTCCCAGACTGATACATGGAGTTGAACAGTTTCCTTCACACTGCACACTTCTCCATATTTTGCAATGCATTTCTTAACTCAAAAACTGTATACAAAACTACGTATGTTAAGGAAGAATGTAATTAAAAATGAATATATTAGGATATGCTGTGGTAGAAATGCATATATTGGCAAAAGTTATATTCAAAAATGGATATATCAGGAAAAGTTGTATACAAACACGTGCATTCTATGGAAAAGTTCATACAAAATCAGTGTGATCTTCTTGCAGACAGGTAAAGAAATTGGAGGAATGAATTGATGAGTGAATACTTACAAGCTGGCACTTACTGGATTTACACTGATCTGCCTATCCCAAGCCCTAGTGGAAGAGTGGCAGGATCCCAGCAGGCTGCCACCATTGCTGCCTACCTAACAGACACCCAGCCCTACAACAATCTCTTCTAGATTGTAAACCCTTCAGGACATGGCCCTGGCCTTTTTTAATTATAAAGTGTCACATACATGGATAATGGTATCGAAAAAAGCAAATAGAGCTAAGACATTGAAAAGGCACATATTCATCAGGAGAGAACTTGGAACCTCATTTCTGATCACAATATTCCAACAAAATGGGCCATGCTTTTCCAACAAAGCCATCTCAAGGGAAAGGGCAGAGTGAGGCAGCAGGACTGGAGTTTATAAATATTGCTTTAAAAGATTTGGATAAGTATTATAGGTACAGTCCATGAAATCCTCCTGTCTGTGTTCAGCAGAGTTCCTGGCATAGCTTCCATTTCTTCTACTGGGAAAACTTGGAGACGGGTGGGAAGAGTCTACACCCTTTGTGTAGGCTTTACACTGCAATAGTGGGCTTGTCTCCACTTTCAGTGGGTACTTACACTATACTATTCCTGTTGCTTGTTACGCCCCAGTAGATGGTTCTCATTTGCAGCATACCTTAACTCATGAACATCTATGCTCATCATTTTTCAACACGTCATTGTGTACCCTGAACTGCATGCCATTGTGGGGGCTCTTCAGAACTGGCAGGTATGAATTACCTGTGGGGGCACTCATTTTCTGGCAACAACAGCTGTACAAAGCCAGCTTCTAAGCTGTCTGGAATCTCCCATCTGTTCCTTCTATTGCAATCCCAGTGGTAACTTCCCTCACCTTGGACACAGAACTTGAGCTCTTTGGCATCTGTAACAACAGAGGATTGTAACTTTTCAGGTGCTTTCTTGCTCATCCGGTTATAGCCACGTTGTTTCTTGGTCTCCCCCCACAGGTTGGAGCCTCCGTACATGCTGGGAATGTTGAGGACTGCAACACCCTCCAGTGAAGTGTTACTCAAATCCAAAATGGTTCCATCACACTGGCAGTATGCAGAGAGACAAAGATAAAGAATGATACAAGGAGACATTAAACTTTTGAAATTATCTACTTTATGCAGCACCTTTATTTTTAAAACATTTTAATCCCCTCTTTGGAAACATCCATGCCAACTTCTAACTGCCATAGAATGAATAAAACAGCACCACTTTTATCAAAATACATGATACATCAAAGCACCACCGTGCCAATTAACTATGGTGCTATCAGGCTTGACTCTGGGGTAGATGTCCAGAACCCCGCCAAGCGGCAGAACCAGCAGGGAGGCTTCCCAATGCCAGCAGTGCAGACTTATCACACTTTGAAGAAAGTGAATTATCTTGTAAAGAACATTTCTCCTGTTAAGATCACAGGCAGCTCCATCCAAAGTGGCTGCCTGTGAACTTCTGAACTCAGAGGGTTATGGGCATCCTATGCAGGGAAGAAGGGCCTTGGAGGGCAGGGTCCCACCCTGCCAAAGATTTAGAAGGCCAATTTTAGCTAAGTTTTTTGCTGCAGTGAGGAGAGGGAGCTGAGGCAGTGCCAGGTTGCAACATAGGCTGGTGGCACCTGCCTTCTCCTCTCTATCCCATAGACTGCCCACAAAACACCAGGGTAACAGTCCATCTTCTGTCTTGCTGTGGGCATGGTTCTTCCCAAGCCCACTGGAGGGTGCTTCAGGTATGTTTCCAGTGTCAGAGGTGGGACTCCGACTCCTCCTATGGATGCTTAGACTCTGTCTAAAAGCCATAGGATTGTGCCTAAGGGCGCAAGCCTCTACATGTTTAGGCAGAGCAAAGTCCTACAACCTCTAGCATTCTCCAGTTGGACATGCTGGCCAGGGAATGCTGGGCGTGGTAGGACCATTCTCCTGTCTAAGCATGCCTAGCATTGTGCCCTAAGGCCAACCTGACACACTCCAGGATCTCTTCTGAGAAGTCATAGCACCCACCGACACATTTCTTGTGCAAATATGCTTTGATATGTCCTCCACATGTGTGTGGTCCTTAAGGATGCTTCTGGGATGGTGTGCCCGGCCACTTCAGCTGGACAATTTGTCTTTGGATCACCTTTACATGCGGGGAATGTTGTTGTTGCTAACTGAGATGTTTTAAGATGTTAACTACAATTATATTCAAGAAATTCAGGTAATTCTAAACTCCCAATATCATACTTCTCTTACACAAATCTATGGTGTGGTCACACTTGGAATACTGCATATAGTGCTGGTTACTGCACCTCAAAACAGATATTATAAAGCTAAAAAAGAATAAAAAGAGGGAAACTGATCAAAGAGCTGGAAGCCCTTATGAAGAAAAGTGACATTTGTGACTTTTCAGCTTAGAAAAAAGGCAAGAAAGGAAAGATATGTTAGAGATATACAAAATGACCAAAGCTTAGAGAATGTAGATACGGATATTTTCTCCCACTCTCCTAATACCAAATTGGGATCATCCAATGAAATGAAATGGAGAGTCAAATAAAATGAAGTACTTCTGTAATAGCGCATACTTAAGATACCACAGAAAGAGGCAGCGCAACAGCAACATGGGGCAGCTTTGAAAGGCACTTGGTCAAACACATTAAGGACAAGGCTGTCCATAGCTGTGAGTGGCTACAGCTATGTGTGAGCTGCAGCATTAGAGGTATCTCAGTGCCATTTGCTAAGGAGTAAGAGTGGGAGGGCGCAGTTGTGTGCATGTCCTGCTTGTAGGCTCCCAAAGAGGCACCTGGCGGGCTCCTGTGGGAACAGAATGCTTCACTCAATAGGCCTTTGCACTTCAAAGGCTTTTGCTCTGATCATGTTCTTAAAGCATGTTCTTAAAGCAGCAAAGCTACATATCAGCAGAAAGCTAAATCCGAACATATATACATAAAGGCCTGAATACAAAGCAGATGAATAGCAAAAGGACTGGAATAGTGCTTCAGTCCAGAAGGAGCAATGGCTGCCACCAAGCTAAACTCTATCAGTTCTGTTATTTTTCATGAGTGCATTACAACTGAGCCTCCACTGGGCTGGCTGTGGAAGCAAAGGCCTGGCAGGCTGCAGAATGTGATACAGATGCCATATATATTCACACAGCGCAGGGATGAACATCCAATGGGCAGCGTGTGTGTTTCCCTCTTTAACCCTGCTTTTGTCTCTGTGCCAGTGTGGTACAATGGCCTCTTTGAGAAGGGGCAGCTGACAGGCTGTTGGCAGGGAGACTGGAAGTAGACATTTGCAGCTGGGGAAAAAACCAACTTTATTTCCAGGAGTCTATATCGTAACTGATGCCAATTTCCAAAACAAAACTGCCATTTCTCTGTGCTCATGACAGATGCCTGGAGCCAGAGGAAAGGCAAACTGTTACTTTCAGCTTGATGACCTGCTCCATTAACGCTTTGCAGCCCTGAGATTGCCATTTCTTGAACATAAAGAAAAAGATCCAGGGCTGGGAAGTTAGGGCCATCTACTTCAGTAAGTATTTGGTGTGGGCTAGTGGGGGAGGTGGCCTATTTTTTCTTCTCACAGATGCATGGCTGTACAGTGTAGAATATGCCAATAGTTCAAAGACCACAGCGAGGTAAAGAAGATTCTTGCACATATTGCGTAGTCTCACTGCTGGTGCTGAATTCCAAAAGCAAGGAGTGTTAAGACTCACCCAAACCTGCATGAAAATCTTACCAACTAACCTGGAGATCCTGACTGCTAATCCTACAAGTATAAAGACAGATTGCATCTGTGTAAAGAAAGTTGCTTTGCCCAAAAGACATCCCCATCTTTATTACTTTGTAAGGCTGACTCCTGGAGCTGAAAACAGGTTCTGGGCTAAGTCCTCATGAACCCAAGCACCATTTGAGCACTGACAACTGCAGATTGCCCCAGATGTTTCTGGCAAGAAGTACTGTTTGTACATTCCACCTCTGCCTTCAGCTTCTCAGGCATGAATCCATATTGCATTGTAGAAAACAGGAACTTCAAAGGCAACCTCTCTATTGAAAGACGGCTTTATATTTTTGCTAGGCAGGCAGGCTGGCTCAGAGAGCAAGTCAGAGAAGCAATCCAAAAGTAGAATCAAAGGTACCAATTCTAAGGACTAGAAAAAAATCCTACAAACTTTACCCCATCTGGAACGGCAATTTCTATGGCTTCCTTACATCTAAGCAAATCCTGAATATCTGCCTTTATATAGTGTCTGGAATACCTTTTTAGCAACTATTTTATTGCATCCTTACTCTAGAAGTAATTTCTCTAAATGCCTAACTTAAATTTTCTATAACCACTTACAGGCAAAATTGGCTCACTGGCCCAGCATATTTTCTAAAAAATTGGTGCTCTATCTCTCTTTAGGTATAATTTTGTGTGTTTCAGTAAGTGTCAGAAGTTCAGTTCAGGGAATGTTGAAACTGACCAGCAGTGGTGTTTAAGATAAAAGACAGCCACATCTATCCTGGAGTAAATTCTGTTTCAAGCAGTAAATTATGTATTTTAGAGAAAAACATATTTTTTGTAATTATGTGTTTTACAGAAAATGACTCTGCTGACATTTACTGTTAAGATTATTAAGGAGGCCACTGGGAATGTAAAAAAGAAATTCTGGTATTTACTGATAAATCTCAGAGCCAACTCAGTATCTTTCATAGTCTTCATCTTTATTTCTCTTGATTGAAAGGCAGTGCTGAAATCCAGTCAATAAAACAATTAAGAACAGGCAATTGTATTTCACAGAAAATACTAATCAATGCATGCTTAGTTGTAATGACTGATCATACTTTCTGAGCAGTATATAAAAATCTGATCATTAGCCATGAACCTGCAATGCCCCCTGCCTTTCATGGTCATCTTCTTTACTCATTTTTGAGACCTAATTTATACAAAGAGCAGCTAAAGTGGATAAAATTAGATTGCATCACTTCAGAGTGCAGGCGGGGGTGGGGGGGCTCATGATTAAACACTTCCACATTAAAAGCATTGCTTACATATACAAAACTAACAGGCCAGGGAGGAAGGTAATCTAGAACCTTCATATCTGGTTTATAAAAGTAGGTACTTTGTATATGAAAGAGCATTAAATAGTGGTGTTCCTTACTTGCCACTTGAGTCCTGATGCAGCTGTTAAAGATGTAGGCAATCTTGTCTTTCTTTTTTATTCTTACATAAGTGCAGGGCTCTTAATCTGGACCAGGACCTTGATTTAGGGGTAGAGGCCTTCAGGCATTACCCATGCAGTGGTCCCAGTCAGAATCAGGCTGTTCACACCTGTGATCTATACAGCCAAATAGTGATCCATTAAAGCAAATGGACCCGATTTGCTTATGTTTATTGTAGGTGTAGGATCCCCAGTACAGACTGAGATGGCAGTGAGAGGGGGACAAAAGGGTGAAGCCCCTTCACTCCTAACTACAGTTGCAATCCAGATCAGGACTCCTGAACTTACACTAGAGTAAAGAAGGGAAAAGAAAATGCAGTTGGAAACTGTCTTTAAAATGAATTCTGCTTTGGTCCTGACTCACTAGTTTCAGGACTCAGATCATGAGACTTATATGCTTCTTTATCACCACTCAAAATGAATTTTGGGCTGCAAAGTAACATAGAGTCATAGAAGAACAGAAGAATAGAGTTGAAAGTGCTCTATAAGGCCATTGAGTCCAGCCACCTCTGCTCAATGCAGGACTCCCAGTTTAATTGCAGTGTACATATGCTATAACCCAAGCTGGAAAGAAATGCATAATCCAACATAGATGAGAAGGACCTAACCCCAAGACTGAGGCAACAACACCCAGAATGCCCCACATCCCCATTAATCTGTGATCTCAGACTACAGCAGGAATGTGGGGCAGTGGAACTCGCGACATGAGGAAGGGCAGATGCGCCTCTTGGCACAGATGACTGGGATCCAGGTCACGCGGCATCCTTGCTGCTCTCTTCAGTCTGAGCTCAGGATGAGCAGCAGGCATGCCCTCTGAGGGTTACTTTCAGGTGCAGGTTTTGGGACCTAATCCCTGCCCCTCTTGGAATTC